AACATGGAACCCGAAGCCTGGAAATACACTGGTCCACAGGAACTCAATTGTCTTCTGATCCTCTGTTGTTCCAGGAGAATTAACACAGGAACTCTCACGTCTTTTCCATCTCCTCTCCTCTTCTCTCCCCCTCTCCCTCCTCCTCTATGCTCTGGACTTTCTCACTGCAAGCCAGGTATTTTTAGCTGTGACATAATGCCCTTATTCCTCTCTCTCTCTCGCTCTCTGACACACACAGACTCTCTCTCTCATTCTCTTCTCCTCACCCTGTCTCCCTCCCTCACACAGTCCGTCCCTCCCCTCTCGTCTGCCTCTCCTCTCTTGCCCCATCCTTCCCTCTCTCCCTCCCTCCCTCTGCCAGGCTATGGCTAGCTGCTACAGTAATTGAGTGCTCAGGTTTCACACTTTGAGCAGTGCAGGGCTGAGAAACATGGCAGTGGAGGAGGCAGCAGACTATCTGACAGAAGTAAGTCTTATCTGTGTGTAATTTATGAGGTCATTGTACACAGACTGTACACAGAGGCTTCGTCACTGGTGCTCCACTGTGTACTTGCTAACACGACTGAGCAGTTTACAGTCATTAGGATTTGATGATGACATGTCAGCGGTTACCCATCAGGTCATGGGACATCGTGCAGGATGAGGTGGGAGGTTGTAGCTTCGTACAGTGTTGGGGGTCATCCATGGGACGGGTGGCAGAGGTGATACTGCTGCACCACTGTGCTGCAGTGTGCGTGTACATTGTATATATACTGTATACTGTATACAGTACAGGAGGTGTGAGTGAGTTTGCATCATTAGCTGATTCATTGTTGTTTTACACTTTAAAAAATCCCACAGATTATTGTTCCTCAAAGGCTGGTGGGGGTGTTCTGTGGCTACAGTGTCACGTTGAGGGCTGTGAATGGAAGCACCTGTCCTTGGCCAGTGGTGCATTGTCTTTACATTTGTCTGAAGGCAGATCAGAGAGTAACAAACATAAGTATACTTTGTCAAATCTAGTATATAAGGTAAAAAAAAAAAACTCCTGATCTGAGGTCGGCTGTAGGCAGCATGTGCTTGATGACAGTGTCAGGTTAAGGTTCCAAACACAAGCTGGGATTCTTTTTTGGGGATATTTGCCTTGAAAACCTAGACCAGGACAATGTAAATCTGCTGAAGAGTCTGTGAAAACGGTTCTGTTTCTACTGTCTAAAACATAGCAGGTGTTGTGTTTGACTAAAGCTCTGGTCGTGGTAAGGTGGAGGGGGTTTGGTGGAGGGTTTCAGCTCTCACGTAGGAATGTGTGTGTGTGTGTGTAACCAAACGAATGTGAAGCGGCACGGTGTGGAAAAATGGCCACCGCGGCATTCTCTGCATATCTCTTGTAGATAAATAAAGTTATACTGAGCAAAACAAGCCTCTGTAAAACTATGATCCTGAAGTAATGTTCTTTTCAGAAAATAATTTTACTTAAAAACTAATTTGCTCTCACGCAGAGTGGATTCTTCTATTTAAAAACCATGAGCACCACACCATTGCATCTGTTAGTAAAAAGGTACAAATAGTGTTTGCAGGACTCTTACTGAATACATGAACTAATATACAGTGTAATTAAACTGTTTGTTTGAAGTGAAACATTTGAACATCAAAAAGATTTACTAGATCTAAATAAAGATGACTTCATTGTAATTAATAAATTAAAAGATGAATCCCTTTATACAGTATTGGATTAGACCTATTAACTCATAGCTGACTGTTGATGTACAGTAATGATGTGGTATTGTTTAAATGTACACACTGATCATAGTAACACTCACACAGTTCAGTCTGATCAATGCTGTTCAAGTGTCTAGTAAAGAGACAATTGGCTGATAATTGACTTTCCATAGGTGGACGGCTCCAAGCTGGAAACCAAAACAAACACATGAATGTACAGAGAAAAGAAAAGAAAAGTGGGCCTTAGTATAATAGAGAGTTGATGTTGTTGATGCTAATTCTGTAGTGGAATGTCTCGCATGGCTTCACCAACTCATTCTGCACGTGTCCATACATGTACCGTACAGTTAGCAGCTGTCCAACATTGAAGAACAGAACTGTTGACACCACGGTCAGCAGTGTGTGGAGCACAGTTTAAAATATACCAGGAGCCACGAAGGAGACAAAATTCAGTTTCAGTTGTCCTGAAAATACCTGAACTTTAGTTGAACATATGGCAACAAGTGAACTGGGACAGAGTTAGTACAACAAGGGGTAAACATCTTTCTGTGCCACCACTGCAAATATCACATGTTCTACTTTTCTCTTTTCTCAGGATGTTGACTTTGACAGTGAACTTCAGAGCTGTGATTCTTTGGATTCTGTTGAATCTGTTTGTCTCAGTGTGCACCATAATCTGCGTTAGGTTTGTAAATCAGAGAAATGTTTAGATTTACCTAGGTCCAACTTCATGTCCTGAGCTGGACTCCTGATTATAATCTGAATTATGAGCAGCCAAGACTCCTGCTTCATTTCACTTGGCTCTGAAGTTCACAGCTGTGTGGAGTTTTTGAACCTTTGTCCCAACAGCACACAGACACAAGGAGGGGCATCTGAGCAACTGTAATGTAGAAAAATATATAAAAAGTCCCATGTTGGGGGACATGAGTGTAAATACTTTAATAAACCAATGTATTTCCAATTTATCTTTTTAGGACAGAAAACTAGTATAGAAGAAAATCACTGCATTTACATTTTAGCTAGTGTGTGTGTGTGTGTGTGTGTGTGTGTGTCCCATGTTTCTGCATGCATCAGACATGATCAGTCCTGTGATGTGAACTGTCCATCTAAGGCTGACAGCAGTGACAGGTACAAAGCAGTCTGCAGTTTGACCTGCAGACGAGAGGGTGAATCGGAGAATTTTGCAAGAGGGAACTAAATATGCTGTGCGTGTTTACACTCAGATGTGTGACAATTTCAGGGAAACGGTGAGGAGAGTGGACATCAATGGAAAGCGGGCATCACAGGGTGAAGTGTGCGGAGGTGGGGGGAGTGACCACCGGGCAGACAGGGAGACGGTGTCGGTGTGTGTCTCTGATTTCATGATTGCAGTGCAGTGCTTCACTTCACCACACCCATGTAGTCAAAGAGGTGTACAGGACGAGCCCTCTCCAGTTACCCTCTGCTCTACTGTGCAGTATTCTCTGGGAAGAAAGACACCCACAAATGGGCACGCCAAACATTTTCACATGTTAATCAACTGCACTGCAGGAAAGTGCAGAAAAGGCACAGGTCGATTCATGACAAGTTTGTCTCACAAACAGGAAATGTTCAGATTAGTGTTTATTTAACCTGAAATTATAGCTATGTAACATGCTACGTTATAGATGACCACAGGCACCTACAGTGTAGCTGTTGTTGAACTCTGTCATCCCTTTAAACATTAAAATGAATACAGATAGAGCATCAGTCTGTCGATGTCCAGTCTGTATGAATAAATAACTTGTGATTTTTAGACGAATGTCGATGTAGATGAAAGTCTGTTTTCAAACTTAAATGTTTTCCCTGCTGCCCTACAAAGTAGAAACAAAGCAGCTACCATCATTTTTGAAGACCACAATTTTAAATATAATGAATTGTTATTAAAGTCACAATAAGTTACATTATATACAAAGAGGATGCCTAAGATTTACCCGGTGTCAGTATCATGTTCTGTGCATGCTTTGGTCAGGTTTATTATTTCTCCATCTGCACATGAGCATATGAGCTCTGGTGGATCATGCAGCCCAGTTGGTCAGCTGTTTGGGAATAAAAAAACACCACTTTGTACACACCTTGAAATTCATTTTTGTGAATACTAGTCTTTAATGTGTTTTCCTGCTCCTGCTCAACATGACCTTTGTTACTGCAGTGGGATTTTTCAGCTACAGCTAATCGCTGAGCTCACTTCCTCCTCAGTCAGGGAATGTTATCGTAGCTCATCGTTATATACACACACAAAAGGCACTGTGTGTTTCAATTGTCAGGATCCAGCCAGTGGCCCCGAGCATACATGTGGGGGCTTAGCAGATATCAGGCAGAGATTATGACGTCATCGGGGTGGGTTCACACACCCATACAGTGGGTCTGGTTCCCAAAACAAGCCATCATCAGTTTGTAGATGTGAACAAAACCAAATGGAAAACTAAGAAGAGAAAACAAAAGGGTTTGAAATCATGAGACTGGTCAGTACATTTATCATAAAAAGATATAGCAGTAGTCAAAAAAAAGTTATATATACAAAGTTATATATACACTATATATATATATATACATATATATATATATGTATATATATATATATACATATATATATATATGTATATATATATATATGTATATATATATATATATACATATATATATATATGTATATATATATATATACATATATATATATATGTGCAACAACAACAATGGTAAACTGTTTAATTGGTGCTGGCTTAAAATACATTGTACTGTATCCAATGTCCAATTGGATCGTCAATGAGGTCTGATTTGTTTGACACAAACCTCACACTGCTTCTCCACTTGTTTGTCCTTCATTTAAACCTCATGAGGAAATAACAAATCCTCAAATTTTCTTTTTGGATTTGTCAGGTTTGAGAGTCTTGGCTCTTTGTTTTCTTCGTTAATAAGCTGTAAAGGTCCATGATGTTTATTTTAGCCTCAAACCACCATTTTATTTTCTGGCTTCCATCATGGGTTTTTTCCCTCCCTACATACAGAACCAGCCTGGAGGGTTTGTGTAACTTATCTCTGGTTGCAGAAACTCTAAGGGATCATATGACATATGAACAGCCTGAAAGAGTTTAATATAATTTTACAATTCCCTCATTTAAAGCCGTGTCCTTTTTATCTGTATTTATACAGCATAAATGTGTTCGTTTTGGAGTCTACTAAGCTTTAGTTTGTTCTTTTTTGATGAACTTTCAATGACCTTTCTAACCAAACCAGTGTTACAGCAGTTCCATGACCCGTCCCTGTTTCTGTCTCCCGTACAGACGGATGTGAATGCCTGTTACCTGAGAGCAGCTCGGGCTGGAAACCTAGAGAAAGCTTTGGACTACCTTAAAAATGGAGTCGACGTCAACATATGCAATCAGGTAAAGACTGGACGCATGAACATGAGTGGGCTTTAGAATCAACAGCAATTATAGGCTGCAAAAATGTGTACACATTAACCTTCAAAGTTAATTTAAAAATGCAATCAACTTCCAAGTTGAAGTGCTGGTGTTTGAGTTGGTGTTTGGATCAGATTCAAACAGATAGCCCAAATCTTTCAAAAATGGTAAAGACAAAAACTGTTAAATTCTGCAAGCTCAGGCAGCAGGTAGAAACCAAGCGGAGCACTCGAGGGACGACGATCAGGTGCAGGCAGTTTATTAAGAAGTCCAAACTGAAGAACATTCCCTTACTGGACACCAGGGCTGGAACAGGCTACAAACAGGTAGACAGGAATAAACATGAGCACAGATACAGCACTATGATCAATGAGCAACAATCATGACCATCACTCACCAACAACCAAACGAGACTGATGTGATGGAGGGAGAGCTGTATACACACACACCCAGGACACCAAGCTGAGTGAGGCTAGTGGGCAGCTATCAGACTGAAGGAAAAGTAGACAGACAGACTTCACAAACATTACATTTTTCATAGTTTTTTTTTTTTTTTTACAAACATTTAGTCAAAGCTATTGAAAGACAATTGACATTTTTTTCCCACCTGTGTGTTTTTTTTCTATTTTCAGAATGGGCTAAATGCTCTTCATCTGGCCTCCAAGGAGGGACATGTGGAAGTGGTGGCTGAACTCATTAAACAGGGCGCCAATGTGGATGCAACCACGAAGGTGTGTGTCTACACGACACACACACACACATCATCCCTGACTCTGTTTGATTTCTCACTCAGCCAGTAGATCGCTGCCTCAGCTTCTTCTGAAGGTCACATTGCTGCAGCAGCCTGTGGAGATAGACGGCTGTTTATTAGCAGGGAGTTCAAGTAGAACTGATCACTTAAATGAATAAATAAATAAACCTGTGCTGTTGTGTTCATGTCAGCAATTCCCATAAAGTAGGCAACCCCTTAAAATGATGCCACAGTGAATCCTTCTCTGCTGAAGCTGGTGATGAGCTACGGTCAGAGGAGCACCTTTCATGACTTTGACCAAGTCCATACAATTTTACTGTGTACACTGGCTTTGATTTAATACCCACATGGTGAAGCACAATCGGGTTAAAATAGATAAATAAATTATTTTATTTGCATTTAAACTGAAAATGAAGACAGAAGCAGTCACAGTTTTGCTGCAAATACTGTATCTTAATCCAGACTGATATCTGCGAAAGCTAAAAAAGGAAAAACACCACATAACTTTACAGTTAGGAGACCTTTTCATGGCCCAGTACTGTTCCTCCATTTTGACCAAATAAGCTGTTTTATTTTTAAATGTTATTTTCTGCAGCATGTCTGCAGAATGTCGCTGTCTGCTGGCCCCTGAGAGCACAACTCTATAAGTGTGAAAATGAATTTAAAATGAATTCAATCTTTTGGTAATTTTACCCCTAACTCTACCTTGATCTTAGGCACACGTGTTGAAAAGGCATTATTTATTTCCTTTTATTTTTCAAAGAACAGACATACAGATCTCCTGCAGCCGTGGCGGCCTGAGCCGGGGCTAGTGCTCGCTGTATCAACTTCAGCAGATAAGATTATATCACTGCTGCATTACCAGCCTATTTCCCAGGCCCTCAGATTGTGGACATTTAGTCCCTCTGTGAGAGGATTAGTGCTTTGAAACCAAGCATTTCCCTGTGCTCCTGTAATTCAGCTCAAAGTCAGGTCCAAGTGCAGTGAGCTGCAGCTGAAAGCAGCAACACGAGAGGGAAAAGGAGCGACAGCTAAGTTCCCATTGGA